CGAATTTTTGCACCGTTGAATCGAAATTTTGATATGATTCGAGATCATGCCATCAAGAATGCTCGAGCGTATCGCTTCTGGAACAGAAATCAACCCGTTTCGTGCATTTTGTATTTCGTTTAAATTCTCAGTTAGTGAAATGAATAAAGAGTGGAAGTATTTTCATATTTCCATCCGTTAATTGGCCAGTAGGATTGAGATGATTGAACTGATACGTTTTTCCATTGAAAGTACGTGTTTTTATCGTGCGAGCATAAATGAGATCTGATATATGCAAGTTTTTTGTTTCTTTTTGTGTTCGTTCAATTATTGTTGGTGCCCTAAAGACTCGCCCATTTTTGATGTTCTCAACAGAATCGCGTTCTGAAAATAGTGAGGCCTCTAATTGGTGTTAACTATCGTTCATACTGGTTCATCATGACGTTTGTTTTGTTTCACACATCACACAGCTCTCTTAGAAATTGGTTTTGTTCAAAATTGCTTTTTGGAACGGTTTACAATGCAATAGTAGCGTTTTATTCCTTCTTGATCGCTAAATTGTTCATGTCTAACATTTTTAATGAAACTTCGATGTTGTTTTGTTCGTTAAAGAACTTATTGTAATTTTTGAATCAGTACGCACGTTAATTGTCATTACTCAAAGTGGTTAAGTTGTGCCATTGCAGTTTTGCGTTTCAATTTACGTAACCCGGTGTCATATTGGTACTATTGCCATATTGAGTTAGTTTTCAAGAACGTTGATACAATTGATTATTCGTATGTGTTTTCATTCATTTTGACTGTGATCATTACTATTCAATAAACTCAAGTCCGCTCAATATGCTTGCTATCATATCTTCATAATTCTATTCACTTTAAAAAGTCCGGCATTAATAAGTTTCAATGATGAATTCTTTGTTGAAACTCATTGTTGCACAAATGCAATCGTCGATGATCCCCAATGACGACAATCGAGTGAAACGTATATGCAAATTCCCAAGAGCCGTAGGATTCATTCCTGGTAGGGCTCAAGACAAAGGAATAATATGAAGAAACGCGAATTATTCAGTGTGCAACAAATCGTCTTGCTTTGCATTTTCAACTGACTTGAGTAAATTAAATTTGCGACATGCTATCGGTTTAGCGCAACAACAAATTGAGCTTGATTTCGCTTTTTTGTCGAGAGGAAGAGGAACGAGGTGGGAATTGTTGATTTCAAGTTTCAATAACTTTGCAACTGACGTAAGCTTCGGTGGAATATCACTCGGTAATATATTACATCTCGCCGGGCGTATAAACTAAAATAGGGGCAACTTATAGTTTTCGAAAATTCATAATTTCGCTTAGGTCGCTTTAAATGGGGAACAACATTATTATTGTCAGTGCAAATTCTGGTCTTCAATTTGGTGGGTATTACGGTCATTTAATCGATAGGCAAATTAATGGTTGTCAAGAAAAACTTCCACAGTTTTCATGCAAAAGCAGTGTGTCGTTCTGAATACTGCGATTCGCCTATTTCAGCGATAATTAGAGATACAAGAGGCATTATTCTCGTAGCACTTCATGACGCTATATGAGAAGATCCAAAAAATGTTTTCATAAACAAGAACAGATTTGTTTTAGAAGAAAAAATGTCGTCAAAAATTTCTTTGGCAGTCAGTTTTTTTGAAGGCATTATAATACACATTATATTGCATTGCATCAACGTTATCTGATTTCAGAACATAATATAACGATAGCACTGATGTTACGATAGTATTTCACTTTTGATTCTTTTTGTTACTTTGTGAATCAGTAAAATGAATCGCACGTTGCTTATTAATGTAACGATAAACACGACCAGAAATGTTCATGAATCCACCAGCCAACGTAACCATTATCAAAAGTGTGATCACTGCAAGATCTTCTCTTTCAAATGAACAAGCACTCCATAGCCACAAAAAACAGATCAATTTCAGTTATGCTATCCATAGCACTCTCTAGACTGTTTTTGATTGTCAGAAAGCTTAACATCCAAATATCAGGGAAAACTTGAATTTATCGTCAAATATCAGATGTGTGGTGGTCACGAAAGTTATTAGTTTCACACCATATTCCTGTGTATTTGTGAATGTATTGTCGACAGAGTTCAACTGTTTCGGACGGGACTTTTGCCCATAAACGAATTTTGAGGAATTCGATGAAAGTTCGCTGAACATTGTAAACTCACGAATATGCTTACAGAAACGTGCAACATCGGGTGATCGAGGCGGTAAACCAGCGTAGAAAACACGTTCAATGAACTGTCTCTCGTGCGTCAACGCTAACATATACCATAAACAGAATGATAAACATACCACCGATGCCAGCTCTATGATGTTCTGAAAATTCATAGCGAATAATAGCATAATCTATGGAGGATAATCAAATGAACGGCCACATTTACAAACAAACACATCTATCTATCGACGAAAATCATTGTGACAAAAGCCAGCCAGATAGATTTTTCACATAGTTGTAGTCTTTTACTCAAGTTGAAATCAAATTGTCCCTCTAAATTTGACGAGAATGTTACGAAAAATTTGCGCACGAAAAACTGAAACAAAATCGAACTCAATTAGAGTAAGCAAACGGAAAAATGAATACTCGATTTATTGTTGAGAAAAAA